AGAGACCTTCAATCTAATAAACTCATATCTCATATATAAAGCTGAATGTCTGTTTGTATGTATGTATGTCTGTATGTCTGTCTGTGTGTACGTATGTTCCGAATAGAAAATTCCATTTCTGAACCGATCCGGACCAAACTTGGCACACATACACTTCGGGCCCCGGCGCGTGTCATAGGCTACTTTTCGTCATCGATCGATATCGATTTTATCGATTTTTATGGATTTTTTTGCTGAGTTCACGTACGGGGCTGGGAGTTGGCACAGGGGGGTAATCGAGCATGGGGATTCCGAATACAATATTGGTTTTCAGGATTATCGATTACTTTTATCGATTTTATCGATTTTTTTGCAAAGTTTGAGCTACGGGGCTGGGAGTTATCACAGGGGGGTAATCGAGCATGGGGATTCCGAATACAATATTGGTTCCCAGGATTATCGATTACTTTTATCGATTTTATCGATTTTTTTTGCAAAGTTTCAGCTACGGGGCTGGGAGTTCGCACAGGGGGGTAATCGAGCATGGGGATTCCGAATACAATATTGGTTTTCGGGATTATCGATTACTTTTATCGATTTTATCGATTTTTTTTTGCAAAGTTTGAGCTAGGGGGCTGGGAGTTGGCACAGGGGGGTAATCGAGCATGCTGATCATCCCCAAGGGGGGTGATCAGCATGCTCGATTACACCCCCTGCCAAATTACAGCCCCCTAGCTCAAATTTTCAAAAAATCGATAAAATCAATAAAAGTAATGGACGATCTTGAAAACTAATATTGTATTCGTAATCTGCATGCTCGATTACCCCCCTGTGCAAACTCCCAGCCCCGCAGGTCAAACTTTACAAAAAAATCGATAAAATCAATAAAAGTAATCGATAATTCTGAAAACTAATATTGTATTCGGAATCCCCATGCTCACTTCCCCCCTGTGCCAACTCCTAGCCCTGTGGGTGAACTCTGCAAAAAAATCGATAAAAATCGGTAAAATCGACATCGATCGATAACGAAAAGTGGACTGTGACACCCGCCGGGGCCCGAAGTGTATGTGTGCCAAGTTTGGTCCGGATACGGCGGAGCCGGGTAAGCCAGCTAGTTAGCCATTAATCCTTTCAAGCGTCGAAAAGACCACAACACTTATTTTTATCTTACTCAAATCATTGTACTCTTACTTCAAAAATTCCTAGAACTACCATCCCAGAAGTGCTTTGCAAGCCAAAAGCAGATTTGGAATCAGCTTTCCATGCTCTATAAGAAATTACCCTATTTTCAGGAGTATAAGTCGCATTTTTGTGCACCTCGCGCGAATAGTTTTGCGACGACGCAGGCGATGTGCGACGCCGTAAGGGCAGCGGCACTAACTTTTCGTAGTAGTTTTGTGCATTCGTTCTCTGTCAAAACGCTTGTAATCACGAGCTGCTTGAAAAATTAGTCTGCTCTATCTTTACTTGTCATATTCCGCCAAATAAAAATTTCACACTAAAATGCGTACTACTATCATTCAAACTTATCCGCTACCTATCATCGAGTTCATTTATGTCTACATCTAGTCAAACTTTCGCTAAACTTTTCCAAAAATTGAAAGCGCTGACATCCTAACTTTGAAGCGCCCATTTAGCAATTTCCAGGTAAAGTGTAGATAAATAGACTGTTAAAGTACAGTTCAACCCAAGCTCAAACCAGGGTGCAACTTTCGCGTTAACGTTCGCGCGGCAGGTGCGCCTTATACATGGGTGAGCCTTATACTCCGGAAATTAGGGTATACATCTCATACGGAAACGCCATTCCAACCAAGTATCCTTTCCTTGTCAGTGTCTTCCTCCCAGTCGCTTTCTCTGTAAACCCCGCCCCCCCCCCCCTCCATAGTTTCATCACATTTTACTTTCACGATTCTTCAGTGCCTATACCTGGAGGTTCGCAATAATTGGCCGCCTTCGATTTTTCATTATCGTCTGCATTAGCTCATTATCTAATCATTTACTTATTACGCAAAGGCGCACCCATTTAAGAGAGGAACGAAGCATCACATTAAACAACTAGCAACAAAAAAAAACAGGCAAACACCCCGCCGAATCAGCTCAAGTCCAGCCCGCAAAATCTTTTCTGAGGATAGAAAGGGAGTGAGCTTGTTTAGGCAAATATGAAGTCATTACGGTATAGAGGTTCGATGGAGTCTGTCTCATGCCCCCTGCTCTTAGCAAAAATGCATTCCCTCCTGTAGCACTTTATGTCTTAATCAATTATGCTTGATTTTGCACATGAAGTTAAAATGACAATGGAAATTGTCTAAGGCATTGGCACTTATTTCAGTGTGTGGATTGTGAACACGGATGCAGCGTGACACCTTATCCGAAACGAGATACATTTATTTTGATGTGCGTAGTTCCTAAGAACGACTGTAATAATCGTAACAGGAGGAGAGGAGATAAGTGTATCGACTACTATTAGCCTTCTTGTTGTCATAGAAAAGCTTTCCTTGCAAGGGAAGCGTCTCTAGTCGAAGTGGCCTTTCCAAACGATTTTTATGTCACTTTGAAGAGCATTAAACGCTGATTTCAGATCTGTTTTCAATATCTGCCAAGCGCCTCTGGGCGCCAAGTTATAAGTGTTTTTCGGAACGCAGAATTTACGTAAAAACATCAATTACGATATTTCCCGCACTCAAGTAGAACACTGTTGAGTATAAAGAAACTAGACCGAAGGCATTCATTAAGTGAAGTGCCCTGATAGCGAACACCTGACTATTTCAGCAGTTTTGGACAATTTTGTTCCGGTTGTGCATTCAGTTTTTCGACTCAAAGAACGCCCATAATTGGGCTTTCAGAGACACTTGGCAGATATGGAGGACGGTTTTGAAACCATCGTTCAATACTCTACGGAGTGATATAGGTGGCATGTGGAAAGGCCTTTTCGTCTAAAGACGCTTCCCTTGTTAGCAGTTTACTATCGCTATTTTGTTGTTCCGCTTCACTGTATAGTATAGTGTAGTTAAATAAAGCTAATATTAGTGCGAGAATCACGTGTACAACATAGCTTACTCTATTTCTAGAAACGAGGAGTTAAGGACACCACTATAATATAGCAAAGGTTCACGAATCAAGCAAGAGATTATTACCAATTAGTGTACATTTTGGCACCTTGTATGATAGAAGGATTGAGTGTCGATGAAGCTACTCAGTGCCGCCTTCGTACGTTATGCGTGCTCTACATGGAAAGGGACTTAAGAGTGAATTGACGATACATCACTTTTGGATTGTTGATGGCATCACTCGACTAGGCGACATGTGCGGAGTTATTGGTTGTGGCTCAATGGCGGTGGCTCAGCAAGCCTGCTACTGCTAGCTTTTCATGAATCCTTTGCCTTCTGGATGCGTTGACCCAGGACTGTGCTGGAAATCTCTCAATTTTGTCAAAAATGGTTTTGGCGTGTTCTGGCTAAAAAACTGAACCAGAACTCTCGCTACTGGCGAGCGATTGTTTGCTTGAGCCAGTTAGCCTCCAAAATGGGTGGAGCGGCTATAACTATTGGCTGTATCACCCGAATCGGTCGCGGGAGCCCACGGAATGAGGCTGCGCGAGTGCGCCGTAGGTGGCGAAAATGGCAGTAGTGCGAATCATCTGGGTCAGATTTGAAACGCGCTCTAACTATGCGCAACAGTTTTTCTCCATAATTTCGCGCAAACTGTTTACAGCATGATTGTGTCATCTATTTATAATGTTCAATCCAAATGAGTGCACGCTGTTGGTACAAAGCAGAGCTCACGACCAACAGTGAATTTGTTGGATAAAAAGGATCACCGATCTACCAATATTTGGTGGCGGGAAAAGAAGAGGCCGATTTGACCTTGCAGGGTATAAAAGAGGTGGAAGAAGGGGAGCCGTGAGCAGAAGAGGCTCGCGGGAGTGGAAACGAGCTGGTCAGAAGACAGCCAGACCTCCGCTCAAGTATCGACCGAGTAGAACCCAGTACTGACTGAGGCTTACCCTGCTAAAGGGTCAAACCGAAGGATTTCTCTCATAGCCAAATTGTAGTTCGTCGTTCTGGTTTATTGTTGGCCCAAGAGCCGTGTTATCGTTCTTGTAATCAAAATAAACGCCGTTTCACCTCTCTGTGTGCTGGTCTTTCAGTCATAAGGTTGAAACCAATCCATACCGCTAGACACTCCCCCTGTTACAAATTTCATTCTTTTAAAATAGTTTTAATTCAAGTTTAGAATGTCAATACAAACCATAAATGATCAAAAAAGTGTTCGTATGACATCTGAATCTGTTAGTTGTAGGCAAGAAGGAGAAGTTAACAGAGTCTACATTATCCGATATGGAAGCAATTCAGCTGCTCACGTACAGAAATAAAAACTAGAACTGACAACCCAGCAGGCACAATCAGGAAAGCTTATTTATAGTGAACAGAGAAACACATCCGATATTCAAGTTGTCGATCTCACAGGTCTGACTACAGGAAAATAGAAGCAATGTAAACTTCAAGAGATTTCAAACATAGTTCTAGACTCAGCACACCCAGTAGACACAGGGAAGTTGTGGAGTTCGTATTGCCTGCCACAAACTGCCGATCCTTTGCCTATATAACTCGACAGATTTTCGACTTTCAGTCATGTCTGCTGAGCTAACAAAGACGATTTTCATAAATAACGGACGAGTATTTGATGCTTCTCAACCTCGGAACGAACTTCACCAAATGCTCAAGCTACATTTATCCATACCCGAGTCTAAGTGGGTCACGTCCAACGGTCAAAAATCACTATATAACTACTGCCTAGCGAGATGTATTGTTTCACATAGAATATAGAGAATCACATTTGATTTTTGATAAAGTCCTACTTTTTTCAAGAAAGATCATTATAGGCGTCAGACACTGCCTTTCTTTTCGAATATTTTCAATGATAAACATTCATTCCCGTGTTCAATGTGTACAAAAGCCAAATATACAGTGAAATTTGAGTAATAACAACAATCAATCAGCATATGATAAGTTTCAACGTTTGTCGACCAGCGGTGCCTTCGTATCATTTGCAATACTCATTCTAGTGCGTAAATCGGCTTCCAGCGATCTCGAGTCACAAACGCCTTTCCACCATTTTTTGGCACAGTCCCAAACCGACTTGTTCGTGTAACAGAAGATTATTGACACAGCACAGCCCTAGATTTCTGATTATATTCTCAAAATCCGCTACAAAATATGACGAACCTGTAAACCATCCATAGTAAGATTTATCACTTGATGTGTTATATCCTCCAAACGATAGATTGTAAATAAAAATTGCAAGCCAAAGACTGGAATCAGCATCACGGCCGCTCTAACAGCTTTCCTGAAATAATCTCACTTAGATGTAAAATTTCGCAGATTTTGCAACAATTTTTTTGTTTCCCAAGGCAGGCGCCACTTCACCTATAGCTGACGTAACAGGTTGAGCAAATGCGACGCGTTAAATTACGGGTATTTGACATCTGGCGTCGCGTAGTCAAAAATAAGATAGCGTTTAATAATCTTCGGGTTGATAAAAGAACCTTCCTCCATGATTAACACTAGTCGGTGAAAGGAGGGAAAAATAACCTGGACTCTCGCGGACACCGCGCTTAATCTCGCCCACATTACGTCAAATGTCAAATGCCTGTCATTTAGTGCGCCGCATTGGCTAACCAGTTCTGAATCGGCACAAAGGCCAAACATGGTGCATGTAACAAAACACAATGCCATTAATTCGTTTCCATTCTGAGAGAGGCACAATAAGAGAAAATCGAAAAAATTCATTCCAGTTTTCTTTCTCCCGCCATCTCAGTGCTCCTCAAATATGATCTAGGATTTCCGGAACAAAGCCTTAGATCAACTGTTCTGAAATCTTAGCCGCTCGCCACCCACTGAGATGGAAATTTGAGATGTTTCTCATCGCGAAACACTGAGAGCAGTCGGGTCACAAATGGCTGACTCAAAAACCACTTGGGTTCTTTTGCTCCTCTATTAAAAATTCAAAAAATGCTGATGAAACCAGTGTCGCGTTGATACAAAGTTCATTGCGGCACGATTACCAGTCGACGCTCATTTTGAAGAGAAAACAAGGAAAGAAGATACGCAGACACGCATCACATCGCCGCAGCGCGCTTATTCTCTGCGTGACGACTCAACTATAGACTTTCTTCTCGCAGTTGAATATAATAAAAGTTTAGATTGACTGTTGATTATTGATTATACTATTAAAACCAATAAATAACTCTAAATACACAGAGAACGAAAATGCACATTTTTGTCCATTTATTCCTCTTTTTGGCTTGCCTCAAACCGAGAAATCTGAAAGCGCCACGCTTTCACTAGGCAACCTTTGTCATGATGTTCAGAATTTCAGATTAGAGAGACAAACGCAAACTTCACTCACTTATACTGTATTCGTTCCAAATGTGGATCATGTCGAAGTTTCTTGACCAAAATATACAATATTCGCGACATTATTACTATATTTACCTGAAATTAGTCATTTTTCGAGGGGATTATTCTTGCAAATCTGAAAATAACTTACTGCAAGTGCTAATAAACAAGGGACCCTTATAGTAGCTTCAACAAAGCCGTTTTCTGTAGGTTCGAACCAGCATTTTTCGTTATTATAAAATAATCGAAGTACTCCATATATCAAGGAGATAACCGCTGGTACACCTTAAATGTACATATTTGGTCATATTGTCAATGAAGGTGAATGTCCGTGACAAACCCCAGCATAGTAGTTTGTAGATGGTCAGGCTGTCACCATCGGCGCTGTCACTTTGTAGAAGACGGAATAGATAGACGCCTTCAGCGAGCATCCAGCTGAAGGTGGCAAGTCGAAGGTAACGCAGCTGGATCAGGAACAGGATACGGCAAACAATCTGTAATCATTACAATTTGTATCACCGACCGATATTTTCCAGAAATGTTTTTATGGGGGAGGGGGGGGGGGAAGGGGAAAGTGCGATACAAATGGATGAATTTCTAGACATTTGAGACAAATTTCAATACTTTACAATCATTACCAAAAGTGACCCCAGATTTGGTGGGGTTTAGGGGGAGGGCAAGGAAGGAGAGATAAATTTTCCGAATGATCTGTGTAAACTATAGAACATTGTCAACCAGCGTCCACTTCAGAAAATCTGACGTTTTAAATACTGACCCTAATTTAAACTGAATTTTTCAAAATTGTGGGTATTCTAGACTCTTTACATGCTGAAGTAAGGCTTTAGTCAGCACTAAAAATTATTTCTGTCGCTGTGAATCTATGAATAATTTTGAGAAAATCCTGATAGTTCGGTTTTTATGTGGTCTCAAATCCTGCCCACTCTTTGAATGCAACACCTCTCTCTTTTTTGTCCTTCACATTGCCCTTATTCAAGTTTCTAAAGAATTTACTTATGTCGTTCGACCACGGTCGTAACGACGAATCTCAAATTGGCCGTGTCGGACTACCATAAAGTTTCTAGTATTTTCTGATTTTGAACAAATGCTAATTTTCCGGACTTAGTTACATTAATTTCGCTGCAATATTGAAAAGTGTAAAGTGCAAGCTAGAGTAGACCCAAAAGTAGAGGGCTATTATTTAACGGCAGGCAAAGTAAGCCAGCGTCATACTTGTTTGCCTAGTAATTCTAGCAATTCTAGCCCACATGTCGAATTATTGGTCCCTCGCTTGGCTATTGTTGTCCCAAAAATTCAACACAACGAAAATCTCATGAATAATACCCGGCGTAAACCGCAGCAACGGGGGACAAAATCACGCCGCATGGGCTATTCAGAACACATCTGCAGAGCGCATAAATATGCAAAGTCCCAAGAATTATGAATAGACCAGATGAGAGGACGAGGAAGCACTTACATGATTGGCGTTGGTTTGACCAAAGCCTGGGGAACCTTCAAAGAAGAAGTAGCTGCTGGTGATTAGGTAAAGCAGGCCCAGGAGCAGGAACGATATCAACAGGTGACGGTGCACTGTGAACATCGGCTGATGTCGAAGCGTTCTAAAACAGGGATTTTTCGAAAACAATAGAAAGCACACGAAATAAAAAAAAACATATGTTGTTTTGGCTTGAACAAGGTGAGTTGCAATAGAATTGATAACTTGATAAAGAGGGATAAACCACAAAAAAGGATCGATAACAGTTTCCCGTGAAGTTAGCAGCTCTGCGCTTGATTAAAGGCATTTTTGCACTACTATTTGCTACTGTATCCTCGCAGGACTTCGAAAAACATGAGCATAGCCTCTTTTTATTTTGCAGCTACTACAAGCCTTTATACGAAAGTATTACACTTGAGGGTAACATCGCACGTAGCAAACCCACACATCGCGTTTACATACAAGTTTGTGAGAGTATACTGTAGCGGTACAAAAAAGCCCAAACACTCAATTTTCACGATATTGCAGAATCTGCCTTTCTTTGGTCCTTACGCAATTCTACGCCATAGAAACTTCCATTTATTAGTTTGAGAATAAACAAATAATTTGATACATGCCCCCATACGCGTTTATGCTAGCATACTGTAGTGATGCAAAAAGCCGATACTTTGATTTTCCACGACATCGCAAAAATTTGAGGTCTTTTTCCTGTACTGCAAAATTCAGGTCTTTTTTTGATCGCTAATCAATTTGCAAGATAGCATTCCGATCATCATTATTATCATTCCGATTTATTCGGATTATTACTAATTTCGCGCTAAAGTGCCGTTTTCCTTCCGCTCTCATGCAGTTTACCACACAGATTGTGTTTAATTAGGGAAAGCTAAATTCCGAGAAAGCAACTCACCGGAAAAACCACAAAATAAATATGGCTGGTATCAAGCATACCACACTTATTGAATAGGCAATTATACCAGCAAGCAGCTTTCCTGCTTTTTCCTGAAAAAAAATGAATGCGGTATAGAAAATAAGTACCGAAGAACTTTTGGCAAGCGTTCGTCCACTATCATGGGTAATCAGCTAATTACAAATCTGCCGATTTCTGATCAGGGGCCATTTTACCGCTATAAACGGGTCCGAGGAGATGGGCATTTGTTTGTGCCGGTAAAAGAGTGATCAAGAATTGGGAGATCAAAAAATCGACAAGGTGCCAAAAGTACCAACTTGACTGGTACCCTGGTAATCCATTTCTTCTTAACATAACTTTTTTCAAATGATTTTTGGTCTAAAGAGTATGTCACCTTTTGCTAAGCCCTGGTAAGCTTTTCCCCACTCTCCCATCTCCTCTAGTAGATCGCGAATTTCCCGAAATGACATTGCCATGTAATTGACAACGCTTCTGGCGTGTCGGTGCTCACACACAACATCCATATACGTAGATTTGTTACACATGGCCGGGTAATTGCAAAAGGATCCCCGTCACATTGGAATTCCTTGACGACTTGTCGCGAAATGAATCTCACGGGAGCTATTTCCAGGAACAGTCAACGGGGAAACCTGATACGCGAGTCATCTTTGCGCGCTCAAGAAAGCCATGATGCTTCGATTTCAATGAGCTTTTGTTTTCAACACACATTTGGACACACTTGAACACCTCGCCCCCCTTCCCCCCCCCCTCCCCCCCCGCCCGGCGATGAAGATATTTTGAACAAGTTCTCTGATGATTCGCCTTCAGGTGAATACTTTTCAGAGTGATACAATTGAACAACCACCCAAACTGAGATTGGTGACATTTTGGTGTTGTATAATAGAGGGATCCCCGATAAGGCAAACGTTCAAGTCTCGTTGCAAAAGATGAATTCCGAAGCGAGAAAAACGCTCTAGAAAGTGTAAGCGGCACAGGTAGCTCCGCCCATCAACGTGGGTGGTCTGCGGATAAAAGTCCAAAGTCGGGATCTACTTTATCTAATGTTCCCATAAATCATCCCTTTATCAAGATTATCAGATGTGCGACATCTCTTATCTTGAAGCCCCTTTCGAGCTCATTATCTTAAGACCACCCACGATGGTGGGCGGAGCTACCTGGATCGCCTCTACCTTCTGAGCGATTTTATCGCTTTGGATTTCAACTTTTGCAGCGGGACTTGGATGATTACTTACAATTAGTTAGGGGATCCGCTATTATACAGCATCGAAATCTCAAAATCCTTAATTAGGGCGACGGCGCCTTTGAGAGCTCTAAAAAAGTCATGAATTTAAAAAAAATCGCTCTGAACGTGTGTAAAACCCACAATCGCCAATGCGCTAGGGGGAAACCCCTGAAAATAGTCAACTCACCGGCTGAACCATCATACAACCAGCATAATCGGTCCAATCGGATGTGCTGCTCGGATGAATGAACCATCCGGAATTGGTGCAGATTTTACGTGAATCTGAAACATAGTGATTTAAACATTTTTCGTTACTTTCTTGCAGATTTGCAACTTATTTTTCTCATTTAAAATAACACTACTATGCAGAGTAATTTGAAAAAAAACTTGTGCAAGTTCATATATCCCGAGTGTACCATAATGTATGTAGATTGCAAGAAACGAAAAAGGCTATCAAGTTTGTACTTTGCTCGTGCAGTACAAGTGGCTTGTTCTTGTTGTTGTCGGACTAATTCGAAATACAAAAACCCTCAGATTGTAGATTAATTCGGGACATGGCCAAAAAAGTTGGAAAGCACATCAAGCAATCTTTCACCACCTGCACTCTCTCTCAATTCTTTTTTAGCAGATTAACAAAAACTGAAAATTTGTCTAGAATTCTTGTAAGAAACTTGCTATTGCTTTTCTTGAAAATTTTTTAGGACATATCCAAACTATTGCGCATTTTTAATGGCCCCGACATGGTATAAGGTGGTTTTGAAATTTTTGAAACAAAAAAACCGGGAACTCCGAAAAACCAACTTATTTGCCATTTCCGTCAGACATAATTCGAGCAGGTTCACTCCCCGTCCATAACAACCATAAATATCCCTCACTTCTCCAATGTTTCGAATTTCATTAGTTTGCCGTAATGGTCTTCGTTTTTCATGCTGCTCTTTCCGCTCCTAGTGAAATCAAACACCGACGGCTATACGCGCGCGCACATGTCGCTGGGAATGTCAATAGAAATGAGAATTTGAAAATTCGGAAGTAGCAAAAAAGCTTCTCCTGCGCTAATAATAGAGAAACACTTCTCGTTCTTTCCCTGCTCACGTATTCTCATGTTTTTCTCGCTTAATCAAACTCGCTCGCGAGGAAAACGGAAACGAATTCTTTTTTCTCTCTTGGGAAATACGACAGTGCTAGTAATCGCCGCTTATTACGGGCGCTATGCTGTAAACAATATGTGGAGGAAAGTTAAAAGGGAAATTGTTTACATGTGTCTGTGGGAGCGCAAACAAGCACAGTTTGAACATAAATAGCGGAGTTTTTGATTGAATTTGTGAGACTGCACACCGCACATCGCATCTTACGGGTAGAGGGCAAAAAATAGTAGTTAAAAGCGTTTTGACAGAATAAACTGTAGAAAAACCCTTAATTGATTCATTTGTAATCATTTAAGCTTTGGAAAGAAGAAGACAGGAATGTGGACCAGGAATTTTTGAGTAAAAGCACATAAGTCGTGAAATACCGAGTGGTGCAATACACACATTAACTCACAAACGACTTGAGTGTAGATTACAAACGTGGTAGAAGCAGTAAGTTTTTTTCTGCAAGAGTGAATATTTAGAGTTCGCCATCGTATCGATCTACCCTATCTTCAAGTCCAGTAAAAGTACGGTAAGGGTACGGTAATTTTGACCTCACATATTGGCCAAGAGCTACTAAAAAACTTAGAACTTTCCCATAGAACCTTTGCTCAGTCACTTTACCCTCACTCAGCCTCTTGACACGAGACTCAGTTAAGAGAATCAGAAAAACCCGTAAATTAAATTACCCCGCCGCAATATTCATGCGCGTACGCGCTCCTTCCTTCCGCTTTTTCTCCAAAAAAGCTTGATTGACGCACATAATCTCACTGTGACGAATTTTTTGCACAGAAAGTATGCACTATTTCAGTACTTTTCGGAAAATTTAAGTATAATTAAGGCCCAAGAAATTTCCTGAATAAAACGAGGTAAACACTTACGTAGAGACGCATCTGTGCTGGCTGATTCGCCATAGATATACGGTGGACATTGACCTTCTACTACGCTTCCAGCCTCTGCGGGTTCAAAACATTGCCAACCATCCCATGTTGCAGGACAGCCTGAATAGCAAAAACAGAATATAAAAAGAGAAAAAAGTGAGCGTCATAGATAGAGCTTGCCGTAGCGATAGCAAAATTGCGACATTTGATTTTTTCATACATGGTCCGTGGCAACGATGTTAATTGGGTTACCGACGCAGGCAATGCACACTGCGCGGCGTGCAGCAGCGCAGTCTCAAGTCGACATTCACAGCAGATAGAGAACGTAGACAGAAGATACGCAGACAGACAACGCCGCGGCGCGCCCATTGTCAAGATTGTAGCGTTTCATCAGCGCTGTTAACTCACTACATAATAAACTAACTGATATAATCACTAAAAAATTCCGCAGGTATTTTTTTGCTGTCAGAGGCGCCATCTACCCTGAGGATTCTGAGATTTTGGTGCCGTATGATAGCGACGCTCCCAACTAGATAATCGCCCAACTCCCGTGGCAAAGTATGGATTCCGAAGCGCGGAAAACGATTCGGAAGGTGGATACTGCTGGGGTCGCCCCGCCCATCAACATGAGTGGTCTGAAATCAAGGAGTCCAAAATCGGTTTTGGATGTATCTAGTTGTTTGTTATAAGACCGCCTTCGTTATATTATCAGTTCTTTCGACATTTCTATCTACCCCAGAAGACCAGTATTGAACTTATGATCTTCAGACCACCCACGTTGATAGGCGGAGGCATCTGAGTCGCTGCTATGTTCTGAAGCGATCTTCTCGCTTTGGAGTTCATTTTTTGCAGTGGAGGTTGGGCTATTACCTAGTTAGGTGATCCGCTATCAGGCATCAAGGTCTCAGATCCTCAATTTTGGACGATGCCTCCAAGGGCACATAGCCAACCGTCTAAATCCCCAAGTCTATATACCAAAATTTCTTCAGGCGTACGAAACACTCAGACTGCAAAGTTTCCTCATGTTGGCCGGAGTGATACAATTAGCTGCAAAGTTCTGAAAAATCTGCTCTGCAGCTGGCACGCACTTCTACAGAACTTTTAAGAGCACAGGAAAAAGCACAAACCTTGTTGAGGAGATTGACTGTTGGGTAAAAGTGTATTTCTGCAGCATTTTCGAGCCGCTGCACAGCACTGCTCGGTAAACTGTGCAAATTTGTCATTCAACGGTGGTTCAAGACGAAGATCCGCAAGTGATGTGATTTGGGATCTGAAATAAGTATATTAGTCAAATTAAAGTTGACTGTTCTAAGAAAATCAATAAAAGGGGCAGTAGGAAAGTAGGAATCTATAGATAGTTGTATTGATTAATTATTAATTCATCTTAATACCAGCAATTGCATACTTACTGGAACTCTGATTTTTAAGGAAATCTAGCCTCTCAAAAGTGCGATAATGTAAGCATTTTCCGAATGATTCAAGAATCTCCAAATCTCAACCAGATACTGACTATGAAAAGTAGAGATCATTCACTTTATTTCGGTTATCAAAGTCTAGCAGAACAAAAATTCGATAGATTGCATTTTTCAAAAAATGATGCTCTCCTGACAGTAAAAATTAGAGTAAAAATATAAAAAACAACTTTCATTGTAAAATCTGCCGTAGTAGGGAAAAGTTTTCTGTGCGCACTAAATGATGGACATTTGGCATTTAATAGCGTAATTGAATCAGCGTCCTTGATGAATTTTATAGTGAGCGGAATTTTTGCCTTCCTTTTCCTAATTCGGGAAAATCAATTGTACAAAATACAGTTCATGTTATTTGCTGTCGGCCATTACTCTCATTTGTTGTTGTACGCATCAGCTTCAACCTCTCGATTCTACGCTACACCAAATGCCAAATACCTGTCATTTATGCGCTACTTTCGTCAAATCATCGTACTTAGCGCTCTCAATTTTTGGGGCATTTATACTCGTGATATCTTTCCTAAGGTTTCCCCATAGATATAACTGAAATGCAAATACACCATGTGACCGGTTTTCATGGACCATCATTATCTACTTTTACACGTAAATGATCACTTTGTAGCTACGACAGATGTCAGAGCTATAAAGACAGACAATATCACGAAAGGTATGACATGACTTATTTAAGCAAAAAAAATCAGCCATGTGATTATCTCAAGACAAACAATTTTGTGCTTTTTGCATGTTTTTTTTCTTAACCAAGACCTTTTTCAGAATAGTGGTAACTCAAGTGTAAGCAATTCAATTTGGTATAACCACTCAACTCCAAAATTTCACGTAACCAGCTCAATATTACTGTGTATACCCCCCATATAGTCCGAGCGTATTTTCCCGCATGTGATTACCATATATACCACCACATATAAATGGACACCAGAGAGTCCTTTAAGAACTCCTCAAGAAACATTTATTACGCTTATTTGACTTCAATCATCTGTGGTGCCCAAATAAGTACAGCTTCGCCTGGAAATTTACTTCTGCTCGAGTAGAGCCAGACACAGGGGATACACTATGTTCGGGAGAACGTTTGTCAGCCTGAGAAAAGCTTAAAATACCCATGGCCTCGTGGCTGAGAATAAGAACAAGTGATCCAAGTTCTCTCGGTTGAACCCTGGTCTTGAGGTGACAGCTGTCAACCCGAATAGCCTAGGATTCGATGTGAGTGGGAAATGACATCTTAGCGCCTACGCACGAACATAACTAGGGTAAATTGCTCGGGTAAGGGTAGTTTACCCCTATAGGAATACAAATTATGTTGTTTGAGCCGCACAAGCTCAGACTGCGTTTGTTTACTTTGCTAATCAGCAAGTTAGCGCGTCTAGGCTGAGGCGCTAAAGTTCTTTGCTCTCTCAGTGATGCAAACTAATCTCAGAAATCTAATCATACCTTTTGATTATTTGTTTTGCATGCCGCAGGCTACAAGTGTGCTTGCCCGCAAGTTTAATGAACTTCTGCAGAAAATTGTTTTGCAACACAAATGCCGAGGCGGGGGGGGGGGAGATGAAAAACGAGTCCCATTTGGAATAAGGCTTTTTGGAGATGCGCATGAAATTTCATCCCAAGGACAACAAAGAAATACAATAGAATATTTTTATTGTTGCGTTGTTGCGTTACCGTATCACCTTTGAGTTGTATTAGAGAGCATGTGGAAAGCGGATACGCAGACAAGCAGAAAACGCGACGCAGGATCGCATGTGTCTGCGCCACTGACTCACCCTTTTTATTAGATTGGAAACTAAGTTTTGCAACTGGTCTCATAACTTCCCTCTCACTCAACATGGCGCACTCAAATTTTGCCACTACGTTGGTTATTACGTGAGATACAAGCGCAGCTGCTGTTCTACCAAATTCTGACGTCGCAGTGAGGGTTACGGTAGGTGCATGGTATGAAGATGAAAAATTCAAAGTTTGACGGATTTGGCTGAAACTTGGCATAGGGGTGTTATCCGACGTGCTGATCACGAAAACGATAGTGAAATAGTGTGATAAGGGTTTTTTGTAGGATTACTGTAGGTGTACGATATGGGGTCTCACCCTAAACAAGGAAAAAGCGTTGAATCAACAAATGAATGTGATATTCGCGTTTGGCAGGTCAAATAACCTTACTATGTGAAGTCTCGGCGGAATTTGAACTTCGGACTCTTTAATCATTGACGGTCGTCCCCAGCGGCTCTTGCGTACATCGACTCGTTCGACTTTATGAGGGCGCCAAATCTCGACATGTCCCTATATTTTGTTTCTTTCTCAATAGGGCCAAGGAGTCAACCTCCAGCAAAAATTTGTAGACGAATCCGGATTACTGCGCATGGTCTAGGCTGCCACAGGCTTCATTTCAGCTTGAAACCCCAAAAATTCTCAAATTTCACTGGCTTTTGAAAAAAGCCTGAAACTTTTCTATTTCGTGTTCAAAATTTAAACAATTTGTGCACACTTGTAGCTCACATTGCCTTCTACAAGATGCCAAAGTTTGAGTGCACCACATCCAAAGAGAGTGAAGTTATGAAACCAGTTGCAAAACTTAGTTTCCAGCCTAATACTATATTTTACTCAGTAAACTATATTTTTTGTAAAGCCTAATTCTCCTCGGAATCGGGAGCTAGATTTCAACTATTACGTTTACTTCTTTTCCTTCATCCTTATTGTTTATTTTTCCCTATTTTTACTTATGTTCATTTTTATTTTTTTTATTGAATTTTCTCTATTTTTTTCGCATTATTTTTCATGCCTACCACCGCAAGCCTTGAGCGCGTTAAATAGATACTTAGATGAACAAGTCATTTGAAAAATGTCACAGATAGTGCGCAATTTCTAGGAAATTCTGAAAGAGATGGGTTTCTTCCCTAACTTTCCGAAAGCCCTATTTCCTTGTTTTTCTTTCTCATTTCCACTGGTGAGTCTTCTGCTTCCAGAGAGTCATTTTCCACAAATGAAATAGCAGTGCAATGGCTCATTAACTCCAGACGCAGATGCTCTATTTTTAGCAAAGCTGACGCTAAAACTACTTTCGGCAAAGCAAGTGTTTCTGAACTCGTGCGAAACGGAAGAACTACGTCATTCTCACACGTATGATGCCAAATTTAGGTTCTTAAAAATTAAAGCAAAAATATAAGACTCAAAATGGTTAAAAATTATGTAAAACACATTTCAAAACTAACTTATAGATCACATAGATCACAAAGCTAGTAATTATAAGAAAAGTTATTAGCAACCGCCACCCCCTTTCCCTTCATAATCCCCGTCTCCCCCCCCCCCCTCCAAACTACTTTGCCTATCTGCTGTCGTATGAATTTGTGCCGAAATAAGTACTCAAAGATGAAACTGTCCCTCACGAGACTTTAACCGCTAATTCAGTCATGTGAGACGCAACTACGTAAATTTGGAGTTAAACTATATGTTCTAGTACCGAATAACCGCATATAACACTACAACTGAATCTCCTGAAGTTCAACATATAATTTTGTAAAGTGCATATTCTGACTATAGAGTGTATCGGGGACCTCTTGAGATGACAAGTTCGTAAGAAGCACTAAGAAAAGCGTTTGAAGCTTAAAAATGTTGAAGAGTGGGTGTTAGTTAATTATTACCTGTCTACTTCTGATGCGATCGTTTCTTTGAAATAAAAAGTGGCAAATGAAATCATCTAAAAATTATCTTCACGAATATTGATTGCTATGATCAGCAAATATTGGAAATACTAATTGCTGTTCTATTTGAAATGAGTAGGCAGTCGAGCAAAGAAGTAGAACTAGATTTTTGTTTTGATTTTTATCTTAACATAACATTAAATCATTTCAAATCAAGAGTAATAATTTTTGAACTTGAGTTTCAGAGTCGCTAGGATTTTGATGGGTTTCGATATATGATAAATAATCAAATAGTTTTGATGAGTCTATTGATTTCGATAATATTTCTAGCAATCCATAGATGCGTCCAACCGTAATTAGGTAAAACAAGTAACTCTTCCATAGGAACTTTGAGACTAAGGTTGGTTATCTCCCATAACAGGACGCTACCAAAAAAACAAGAAATCAGTTTGAAAATACTGGAAATGCACCAGACATATACAGGCCGTGAGATCAAACAAAATGCCCTTTTACAGAAACTGCATCAATTATGCGACTCCGTTGAGTGGAAATTCGGTAATGATCTTCATTTGCATTACTTTTGCTTTTGCGTATTTATTCTGCTGGAAGCAGTATCTAAACAGATCTGAGTAGTAGGTTCTTAATCTTATGGCAAAATCTATAGGCCTTAGCCACTCCCTACTAGCGACATCATATCATTAATTCGTGGAAATTTAATCTACAGTCCACCGCAGGGTGTAACCTTTGGCATTGACCAATCAGCGTCCTCGATTACGGAGATACGGTACGGTGTGTGGGAGTTTGTATACAGTTCGAATTTCTCAGCCACGAGCAAAAAATATGAGCTGTAGTTTGAGCAATAACTTCGCTATGGCCTCTCAACAAGTATTCCTAAAATCCGGGCCAAATCTTTGAACATCGCTTGCAAAATGCTCGGGCAGCGGAACCCTTTTACATCCTAAAATAAGTTGGCATGCATTCTAAGCAAGTCAAACTATGTTTTATGTACCTTCAAAGCATGACTCATCACAGGCTTCATCTCTATACATTTTTTGAAATTTTCAATTCTCCGAATTTTTCACAGTTGGCTTAATCTAGCATGCACTAGCAATTTTACTCATTCTGTTTAGGAACGCTTGTTCTCAATCCACTCCGAACAA